TATATATATATATATATATATACATATATATATATATATATATATATATATATATATGGTATTTTCAAGTATTTGTTTTCAGGCAAAAGCAGGTGAATACTACTGATATGAAATTAAAGTAAAATGTTAGTTGACAATATTGCTCTTTTTTCCCTTTGAATTGAAATTTTGTGCCTTTTTTTTAAACTGTAAAGTTACATAACAATAATAACCATGAAAACAAACCGAAAAAAAAAGAAAATTAAAATGCCTAACTTGCAAAAGCAGGAATGTCACGGTACCAGAAATAGACAGGGTTTTCCTTTTCTTTTCAATAAAACATTGATATGAAAAAAGACAAAATAAAATATAACCATTATTAATATCATCCCACTTTGTTTCTTTGTCCATGCCATGTTTCTGTTGAAGCAGTCTGCAAAGGCATGGCAAACAAGAAGTACTGTCCCAAGACTACAGTATAGTCCAGAGGGTCCATGGTGTCCCGCTTTTGTCCGAGGTTATGCTCCATGTTGTCCAGCAGCCTCAGAAGAAGTTTGGGTCACCTCTCCATTCTGCTCATCCCGGCAAACTGGTATTGAGCAACTGCTAGAACTCGCCACGAGCCTAGATTCCAACACAGCCCATATTTTTTTCCTCAGTGACTCTTCCCCCCTTTTTGACAATGCCACTGTGAGAAGCCCCCAACATCCTTTATTTTCCTTTCTTTATTTTAAAGTCACACTTTCCTTAAAACGGAAAGTTTAATATTCATTCAAAAAAGGAAAACAAAAGCATACTTTCAACCTCTTCTTTGAGTCCATTCCCAAAGCTAGCACCATGACATTTATTTTTTAAGCTAAACGTTCATTGTTCATAAAAAAATAGTGCCTTTTTTTGTTTACTTTGACGTAATCCGTGGCAATGTGCAATTCTGCAGACTCTTTTCTGCTTTTTGTTTGTGATGAAAAAGGTGCTGGAACAGGAATCTAATTTTGCAAAATAATTCCTTACAGTGTGGAAGTCCCTTTATAGGTAGAGGTGCAAACTAATAGAGAAAAAAGAACTAAGAGAGGCTTTCTTTTGTCTCAGGACAAAGTGAAAAAAAAAAACAAAAAAAAAAAAACAATGTGGAATGGATTCTTTCATGCAAGTTGTTCTTCACTTTCGGTTGTCTTCCACCAGGATGAAAAAGAAACATTCTACGAGGTGTCCACTTGACACTTGGAAACACAGGTCTCTTTCATCTTCCTTCTCACTCCCCTTGCGCCTTTTTTCTCTTTTTGCTCGGGGATCCACCTGAATTGCATTCAGCTGAATTGCTAGAGTTCTGTTCAACTCTTATGTTTGTTCCTTTTGTATTGGTGACTGAAAGTGGAGGGGGCAAAAGAGGACAGGAAGAATGTGAAGGCATGTTTGTATGCCAGAGGAGGGTGGGTGAGGTTTAGGCGGAAGAGGGGGGTCATTAGGGAAGGGCCGGAGGTTCAAGACGTGGTGGACAAGAGCAGGGGGGAGCACTGGTGGGCCCGGACAGGGCAGGGGAGGTCAAAGAGAACTGCCACAGAAATGACGTCAGAGACAAAGCTATAATCCCCTAGTCTTTTTTTCGTCACCCTCATACTCTTGTCTGTGCAAAGGGCTGGCAGCGGGCTCACTTGTGGTTGACAAAGTTGTCCGTGGTGTGAAATACAGGGGGCAGTTTGCTGGGAAGGCTGATCAGGGGTCGATGGAAGATTGCCTGCTCCTGGGCTTTAATCTTCTCTGCCTGCCTTCGAAACTTTCTGGCCCTCAGGATGGCAGGGACACCCCTCCGGAGCCGTTGGGCTGCCTTCCTCTGCCACACCTCGTATTTGGAATACTTTGCGGTGACATGCAGCTTCCTTGGGGCTTCCTATTGTGGCGTGCAGGCAGAAAAACAGGAGGAAAAAGGGAGAAGAGGAAGTCAGTTCATTAGCAGAGATAAGATTACTATTCAAGTGCTTGTTACAAAAAAAGAAAGTCTTGTTTGTTATGCAAAAACATTTGGTCATTGTTAGGGCTGCTAAAATGGAAATCAAATGTAATTCTTATGGTGCTGAACGTCAAAACAACCTCGCCTCGCCTCCAGCCTGCCCTTGTTTTGGTTCCCTCAAGTGAGAGAAGCTGTCAATAAGTGCTTGGCCTCTTTAGCATACCGTTATAAAGGAAAAGTGGCCACTCTCCCCTAATATACATATTAGCAGCACACTGTCACTCAAACAAAGTAAACTCATTACAGAATATCTATGCTAAGACAGACAATTTTAGGTGTTGTCTGATCACTAGTGATTGAGACCAGTTGACGCACTGGCAGCTGAGCTAGCTGGGATTAATGCGTGAGTAGCCAGCGCTTCCAAGTGAATGGCTTGTTTTCGTCTCTGCCACTTGAAGAGTGTTTACACCCCCTCTTCATTCACTCCAGAGCTACTCAATAGCCCAAAGAACAGCTGGCCCCAGAGCAGGCTGTACCCATCAACTCTCCCCACTGAGACACACTGGGGACATGTCCATACTAATTCCCAAGTGGCCTGTTTTGGTTAACTTTACAGTGAGAGCATTTGGTATTTTACATGTTTCTGAGATACCCCAATAAAATTGTTTATAGCAAAATCAGGCATTCTGGGATTGGAATAAATTTAGACAAGATTGCTGTCCTTTGACTGCTTATCAGTCAATTTAAGCATGCTCTTTTGTTCTGGATCAGCGCTCAGGCACTTAACCGTGAGATTATTGACGCTGCAATCTCTAGAATATAATGTACTGTGACTGTTCTAATGTTTTCCACGATGGTCAGCACTTTTCAACTGCTTAACATTGAGAACTAAACAAGATAAACCTGTTTTTGTGTGGATTTTAGTCTGCAGTCTCTGTTTCGGGTGAGATATGAGGGCAGATAGAGACCTGGACTACGCTTTGTGTTGTTTGTTATTGCTGTTTGTACCCACCTGCTTTAGTGCGGGCATGACTGGCATGCTCTGTATAGAAGAGGACGACACGTCTCTCTCAGACTTGGCGGGTTTGGCACAGTATTGCTCCAACAGGTTGAGGTCACAGCTACGGAAACAACACTCCTCTACAATCCCACGGTTCTGGGTGCGCCGGTTGTTACCCCTGCTGGTTGGCCTACCTGAGAAGAAACACAGAAGGAATGTAAAAATGAAATAAATGGTTAAGGACTGAAAAAAAAACAAATTTTTCACAGTATCGAATTAGGGTTGTTTATGCAGGATTATTTCAACAATCATGGCAGGATTCAGAGAAAAGAGGATAAAAGGAAAGATGTGACCAATAGCAACAAATATTTTTGTTTCACAGGGATAATCTGATTAGGTCTATCTGGGAATCCTACAGTGAGTGGATTTCAAGTAAACAGCATGTCCTAAGTGATAAAAAACAGAGAAAATATTTCGAAACACTGAAGAATAATAAAAAGAAAAATACATTTCAAATTGAATTTGACTAAAGAGAGAATGCAAATATTAAAAACAAATCAAGGGCTGTAATACCAGCAATACACATGATCAATAAATGCTTTGTCTAAAATTTGACCCCCACATTAAGTCAGAGGAATCTCATTAGGCCAATGGCTAGAGTTGATTAAAAGAATAGTGGGTCATCCAAAGAGATGGAGGGACAACTGTCTAATGTCTCTGTGATAAAGACAACATTCTGCTCATTTTTCAAAAAGCAAGACTAAAAGCCAGAGCACATGTTTTAAAGTATATACTTTGATTTTAACAGTTTGGTTTCAGCTAGCTACCTTTAAAACATGTGAATAATAGTTGTAGGTCAATCCTATTATTCACATGGTTTACAGCTGATCATGGACACTCAACTGGCTAAAATTGGGCTGCTTCTGTTGTCCCTCCCTTCTTATTAGCAAATTCACATATTTGAACATTTTATAGTTATAGTAGCCCACAATGGATGCCCTTTTGGAACTTCAGTGGCAACTGCAGTTGTCTGAAATAGAAACAGACTCTAGGCTGACTACCTTAGAAGATAGCCTAACTAACCAACCAAGCAGATTTAATCTGCTTTTTATATCACCTTCCATAGAGCAGAACAGCAAAAAAACAGCTCAGAAATGCCCACAATTTATTCAGTGTTAGAGAGTAATGGTCCCAACTCTAAGGTTTAGAATGCAAGCTTTAAGGAGCAAGCCACTGAAACAAGACTGTAATGAAATAAGAGCAGCAACTACCAATCTACAACAGCTTCTTTGTATCCAGTGGGCCGCATACTGCATGGGAACATCTTTGTAATTTAAAATATTAATAATGTATACTTGTTGATTAACAATCAAGCCAAAAAATTGGGAACCACTTACACATATACAGTCAAGACTGCAATAATAATAAATTTTTATTGTTTCTGCACCAATTGGAATAAAAATCGGTGATGGCAAATTGTTACATTTAATGCCTATATGCTGCCAGTATCTTGAAACAAACAAACAAAAATGGTAGGTCTATAATAAAAAGATGTAACAGAACAAACATAAACTTATCCAACAAAAGGATTCAGGACATCTAATCAGCCAACCCCCACCATCAAAACTCTAGAAAGGAAGCAAGGGTGTGAAAGTATAAAACCATGTTGATGATTTTCTCTCCTCCTGACATTAAGTATCTCTATCTCTCTCCCTCACTCAGCTTCTTTCTTTCAGTCCTACCAGCTCATCAGTGCAGTCTGGCCTGGGAATACTGGTGCTGAGGTGAGTAGTAATGCCTCTTGGGGTGCTATTACTTCACTGATAAACAAGCAGCACATTGTATCGCAGTGGTTGTGCATGTTCCCTTCGCCTTACCGGCCTTTTCATATGCAATGAGAAGTGCAGGCTGCATGAGCAGACCTGGAGAGGCACAGCTGGCTGCAATCTCCCTCCCTCTCCCTGACGCTGTTTGCGCGCACGGTATTGTGTGTGATGGTGTGTGCGCTGCATAGGCGTTAGTGCGTGAGAAAGAAAAACAGCAAACACGCATACCACGCAACCACAGACAGTCTCAGCTATCCAAACAGATGTGAAACAACAGAGAGAGAGAGAGAGAGAGAGGAGGATAGCGGAGAGAGCAGATGGAATAAAATAAGAAAGTAGGCGAATCAACATTTGCGCGATGCGTTTATGGAGACACTTGGAAGAAAAAAGAAAAAAAACCTACTGAAATAGAAGCCTCTGTCTTCGCACACAAACTGTAGCGCATCCACCAGCTCTCCACCACACAACGTCTCTGCCGAGGCCATTTCCACAACGTAGAGTGTGAGAGCCAGCGCAAAGAGTGCACGACTCGTCGAGCACATCTTTTTGACCTGCAGGGGAGAGAAAAAAAATTAAAGCATAGCAGTATGGAAAAATGACAGCTTTGTGATTTATTACAACAGCAGTAAAAAATAATATATAGAAGAATAAAATCATAGCCAGATGTTTAGTTTTGTAATGTAAGAGATTAAAGTCTTAAAAGCTGTTTTACGCACTGACCTAGTAACTCGGGAGTCGAAAAAAAGTCTGCTCTGTGAGTCAGATGAAATCAAATAAGCAGACTCAAACACAAACCACGTAAGCTACCCGATTTTTATCAGCTGCTGTCATGTGTTTGGCAACTGGGAGAAGTGCTTATTCTAAAGGAAAATGTCACCAGTATCTTTAAGCTTTCACTCTCTTACACAACTCCCCCCGTCTACCCCAGAAAGTTGCAAGGCCGGCTGCTCGATAGTTAACTACTCCGAAAAGACAGACTCAGCATATAATTTCCCCTTGCTCACCCCGGAGTGAGCTCAATGACCCTCAGACCTACCGCCCCCTGTCTGCCGGCAAGGCGACCAGCTGTTCCTGCGCCCTTGTCCGGCGCACGGCGCACCATCCGGATCAGGGGAGATTAATAAATGACGTTTTCATTTCTTTAACTTTCACCTTGGACTAAAAAAACCAAGATTTTGTCATTGATTTTCGTGCATCCAAAACTTTCTCTATTGCATCTAAAATGATAAATCCCTCTCGATCATAATGCAGAAAACTGATGGAAGCATCTATCTCCCCTCCTTTGCGCAAAAAAGAGAAAGGAAATATATCCATATAGCTCTATTGAAACCTCTCCCGGCTCAAACTGCAAATCTGCAACTGTTTGTTCTCCAGTTACCTTAATCCTGCAGCTCTCTGTTCTCCGGCAGGTGTGGCAAAGTGAGAGGTGTCCGGATCTTTGCTGGGTTTCCATGTCAGATGGCAGTAGAGTAGTCAAAGTCGCGGCAAGTTATTTTGGTAGGCGATATTGCAGGTGAGTTAATTTCCCAGTTGGTGAAGCTATAATAGAGATGATGTGTGAGAGGCTGTCCCAAAGACAAGGCGACAGGCAAAACTTCTCCGGGAGAACTATTATATACCAAAACACGCCCCTTACACCCGTCCCACCGCCCTCGCTCCTCCTCTTGATAAAAAAATGGCCTAGAGATGTTACATGGAAAAGTGCTTACAGGAAAGAAAAAAAAAAAGAAGAAAGAAAAAACGCGCAAAAAGAGGGAAGAACAAGAGAGGAGAGAGCGAGAGTCACCAAATTTGGATCTCTTCCACTGGCATTTTCTGCGTTTACGCACTGTAACCTGCAATCATACTGTTTACACAAGGCGCAGACTGAACGAGAATAGTTCGTAATTCCTGCGACTCCAAGAAAAATGTCAATGTCTCCGCCCTGCTGTAATTAAGATTAAGATTGAGTGGAATCACTGTGCCCAGAGTCTGCGGGCAGTCCTCTGATTCAGGTGTACGAATGAAAGCCATTAGGGGAGCCAGAGGTGGTAAAAGGGAAATATTGGACTGTGCTTATCCTTACTGATACTGATGCAGATAAGCACGCAATGATAACTCTAAAAATTGATTTATATAGAATAATAAAACAGTTCTAAAAATGAAGAAAGCAGATACATCAACAACAGTAAAAGAAAATCATATTTCCTCATAATCAAGATCACATTATTTTCCCTTCTGAAGGTGAGCTGATTACTGTAAACTAAAGTATCTCTAAGGTTATAGATAATAAAGGAGATCTCATCAGTGTACAAGGGGGTCCCTTATGTAAGTGTGTCTTTTTGCAAAAGAAAGATAATAATAATGATTGAAAAAAAACTCTAGAGTGTCTCCAAAGTCAGACTGACACCTACTGGTCCACATTACAAAGCTGCTTTCTTGCAGCTTGAAAGCAGCAGCCATCCCTGCAAATCAGATCCTACTGATCCAGGATCTGACCTGCCGTCTCAGCAGCCATCATGCATAAAGTGATTTGTCCGGGCAAATTCCCACACTGAAAGTCAGTGCAAGGGGGATTTAATGTTGTAGCATCTTGTCTCTTAGTCAGAAAGAGTTATGTTTTGTACAATAACGCCATAGTGAACAACAGCAATCATTTTGACAGAGATCTACATTTTAATCATTAAATGAATGAAAAAAATTACTTTAAAAATAATTGATTATTTAAATAATACTGTTTACAGCTGAATAGAACATTTTGTCTTGAGTCAAGTGTTCCTATTTGTTGCAGTTGCATGACTTTTATAGTATACAGCCTGTATTAAAGTTGTATATCAAATACATTTCGTTACAAAGATTAACTTAAATTGAAAAGAAAAAACTCATATAGATTAATTACACAAAGAATAGATTCTAAATATCAATTTCTGTTCATTTTGATCAGCTTACAGGAAATGAAACAAAAGAAAATTCACCATGTTACCATAAATTTTCCCTGCACTCTAATTCTATTAAATTCCTTGCATATGACAGTCTGTTAAACGCCAGCTTATTTAGGATTAACCTTTTGTTACTCACATTTTTTGAATATCAATTGATCTATTTAAAAAAAAAAATTTTCTTAAATCATAGACTAATTTATTTTGATAAGCGTATTACGCTTCAGTGGCCTATAATAACTCATGACGTTTAAAAGACTTTTAAAAGTTTCTGTTTTCCAGGAATTTCCATGTTAAAATCTCTGGCTTTATGTTGTTTAGTAAAAATATGACTAATTTTGTTAAATACATTTAAAAAGTTTGAAATGGACCTTTAGCCATCACCCTAATCTCTATTACTTTAATATGTCTATACTGAATAAAGTGTGCGCATTATTTATTCGTTGAATTTACAAATTCGGTCGATTACTGGGTCAAAATCAACAGCAAATTTTTTTTTTCAATTCTGAATATTGTGTTTTTTGGTTATCTATTTTCTCCCATTTGTTAATCTTTGAATAGTAAAACTTGATCGTCAAGGATATTCAACCTGTAGAAGTGCTCCCTCTTGTGGTGTAAAAATTTTTTGTTTTGCTTATTTGATTTGTTTAAACCTTTTTTTATGTATTTGCAAAATCAAAATCACAAGGGAACTAACAACAGTTAGTTAACCATGTTTATTTACAAGATAATTATTAGTATTTTTTTATCATGCATATCGAATGTAAAACCGAAGAGTTAAAGAAAAGACAGACAATATAACACATGCATTAATTTACAAACACCTATTCAGTTACATAAAATCAATTATTTAATAAGAACTTTCATTATATTTAAATATATATATTGTTTGGCAAAATAAATCACGAAAAAATATGCAATGTCGACTAAACAATTACATGTGTTTGATTTTAAAATATTATTTTCTTTAATCTGTATACATTCATAAACACAATTTTCTTTGATGGTGGCTCCAATATTAGCACATTTGGACACTTTTCCTAATTAAAGCATACTTTTTTTTTTAGCAAAGTAGAACCACAGTACATATTGTCACAAATACATTCACACTGGGCAAATCTTTCGACATAGTTGGAAAGTTTTCATAAACACACACTGCAATAACCCAGCATCTTACTAAATTACACTTAAGATACATGTGATGGTCTCTTCACACTTATGACTCTGCAGAGCTCAGTATAGAGGGCAAACAACCGACTATCATCATGACAAAACAGCGAGGGCGTCTGTTAACACCTTGATCTCATCTTTTACTCCCTCCAGACCTCCTTGTATCTTCAGTGGGTTGTCCAGGACTTCAACGCTGCATGTATACGGATCGTACCTGACTGAGAAGGGACGCTTGATACCCGCTACGTATGTCCTGTTGAAAATTTGAGAGACTCGAATAAGATTGCTTTGCACAAATTAACTGTTTTCAAGAATTTAACCTCTGTATAATGCCATATAATGCTAGAAAACCATATTCCTATATCTTACTCCTGTATGCTATGTTTCTTAAAACATCACTAATGTAATTAACCTTATAGTTCATCACCCAGTTGTTGTTTTAGTCCTCATTATCCCATTGAAGACTGGGGGCTTTTACTGAAGGTATTTGTTTTGCAGACCAACATAATCTGTTTGCCAAATAAAACAGCAAAGTTTTGCTTTGCTTCGGCTATATTAGTAACAGCTGTCTTCTGGCTTCTATGGCTGACCTACAAAAGTTTTTTGCCTTGGGGGTTGGCAAAGTGTTCTTTGACCTTGTCCTTACACAACCCCTTGCTCTTTTTCTTCTCTTCTCATGTGATTTATCTGTATAATTCAATAAAGAACAAAGTACCTGAATTTCTCCTTGGCGTCTGGAAAACTTTCTGAAATAAAGTAAACAGGCTGGTAGTTCTGGTCTTGGTAGGGCTGAACTGCTGCAGCCTCTGGATCAAACTCCCGCACCTCTGGTTCATCAGAGAGAGAATGCTGGCAGGAGGTGACAGGAAAAAAAAGAGGTTAGGTTGCACTCACTTGGCTGTGATCCTTGTGTTCATAGAAAGACCGGCAGTCTGAAACATACCACAAGCTCTCCATAGGAAGAAAGCAGCCCGGCTCCATAAGCCCTTACTTCACCATTTTGTTTACAGAGGCCATATTCAACTGTAAACCAGTAAAGCTGGTTGGAGATATATCAGACAATGGAGTCATTATTCAAAAAATAATCAACACATGTAATATTTATTTGCAATAACTTCAAATAAAAATACTGCTTGTTTAATTATTGTGTTACAGTGAGCATCTTACAGTTGACAGCTTCTCTATGTCTTCATCTGACGCTCCCAGCGATGCCAGACCAAGGTTCTGTAAAAATAAAAATAACAAATATAGAGAAACGGAAAAGCTCCACACTGGAGATAATAATCCGAAAGGCGTAAGGCCGTTGGACTCTAACCTGTGAAAACTGGGCAAAAGTGCGATCGGCCAGCATGGGGACATGGCCAAGCAGTTCATGGACACAGTCCCTGAAAATAAAGTCAACATAAAGAGAACAAAACTGAGGAAACAATGCTTGGATTGTTTTTACCAAATCCACACTTAGTCGTTATGAAGTTTAGCTGTAAAAGCATTAGATTTATATATATATAAAAAAAAAATATTTTATGAATGAATGAATGAAAATGATTTTTTATTAAGAGCAGGAAAATCGGAGAGGACAATATAAGCTTACAAATGTTTTCCTTAACACATTTTTTTTATGTAGAACTCTGTTAAATTATGAGTGAATGAATAGAGGAATTTCAAACAAACAGATAGTTTAAGACATCAACAAATAACGATAAAAAGCAAAACTACTAAAAGGAAAATTGTTATCAACACAAACATACTCTCCAGTGTTAAGTCAAACATCATATGTATGTATATACAAATGTAAGATAAATAAAAACTACAAATATGAAAAGAAAAATAACTAAAGGTATGACCTAAGTGAGTATAAAATAAAAATTATGGAAATTATTCATATCTGGCGCTGCACTGTTGTGCAGTTTGTTACACTGCCTTGCAAAAGACTGAGGGTCTTTTTGCATTGAGTTTTCATGTTCTCCCCGTACATGTGCAAGTTCTTTCAGGGTACTCCAGCTTCCTTTCACTGTCCAAAACATGACCGTTAGGTTAATTGATTACTGTAAATTGTACTAAGCTGTGTCTATTAATGGTTACATGTCTTTGCTTTGCCCTGTGATAAACTGTCCAGAAGATGTATGTATGTATGTATGTATGTATGTATGTATGTATGTATGTATGTATGTATGTATGTATGTATGTATGTATGTATGTATGTATG